CCCCCCCCCCCCCCCCCCCCCCCCCCCCCCCCCCCGTTTCCAACACATTTTGCTTCCAATTTCAGACATATTTTAATTCTTGCCCCCACTTGTGGGTTTTCCTGGATATTAGCTTGAGAAACGGCATTGTTTCTCAGAGCAGGTGGAAATTTTGTTTGGTAGGTGGAAGGTTTCCTTCACTTGTTTTTCACTGTACTCAGTGTTTTTTTGGTGTTGCTGAGAATTTTAACAGTAATACAATTATTTCAAAGCTTTATTTAATTACTTTAATGCGCTTGGAAATTGTTCATCAGATTGTTACTAGAAGTTATAATAAGTTAGCAAATTAAGCCTCACGGTACTTCTCGGTAGTAGTACGCTCTTTGTCTTCCACTCAGCATTTAAAGCATTTTTCCCCTTTCCTCAGAAGGCTAAAATCTGCAAGAGAGGTGTGTTGAGTCTTTGTTTTCTGTAGATGTAGTCGCATTTATCAAGCATATCAGTCAGTGTATTTGTATGTATAAAAGCTGGTTTGTGGTTCAGTTGGAGGCTGTATTGAGGGATCAAAACGTAGAATATTCCTGCCACAAACATAATGCAATTCATCACTTGTGTCAGCAAACATTTAGGCAAGAAATGCAAATTCTGTTTTCACAGGCAATCTGGTTCAAGTTAGATCAGCACAGGTAGCAAAAATAAGGTTGACCAATAACTAAGAGAATGGTTTCTTGTTCTTAGAGTTCATTGTGGCAACTGAAAGTACAGTTTTGCTAGTTTATGTTGAGTTTTAAGGGGAATGGAGCTTGCCTAACACTGTGAGAGTGCTCTGGACTTGGTAAAATTGTGTTTTATGAATTCATGTATTACTTTGAGGTTTGGTACTGACATTGCCTAGCAATGACTTTTGGAAAGGAATTGCAAAGACCTGACAGCTTTCTACAACATTATGCGTACCCTCCCATCATTCAGATTTGCTTTCATCAAGCTCACTGTATGAAGTGCAAAATCTTTTCCCAAAACTATTTCCAGTCACATTTTAGAACCATAATGTAAATAGAGAGCATTTAGATTAAAGCCCACTATTTCTTTTTTGAACCTCTGAAGATTTTTACAATTTTGAATATGACAAATGGCTTAGGAAAATGGATGAAAGTCAGTATTTTTCCTTTTTAAAAGAGTGTTGCATTTTACAAAAGATGTGACAAGTATACAATTGATGATTGTGTTTCTAAAAGTGCTGGTGTTGAACAATGAAAGAAATTAGGTCAAAAAAGGAAGCTGTAACTATTGGGTTTTTAATAAAATAGTTTGGAAATATGTGGTTTAATCAGCATTTCTTCCATAGGCAGATCACCTTTGGTGCCACTGATTAAAGCAATATTGAAAATCGTCACATTTTCAGTAAGACCCGGGTTCATTGTATCTTGATCCTTTTTCGTAGCCTTACATCTGAGGTGTTTAGCCTGGATCAAAGCGCTAGCAAATAGATCTCAATGAACACTCTGGCAGGGTCCTGAATTTAAGGGCTCAGGGGAATTTGTCCTCTTGATCTTCACTGCTGTGACTGAAGTATCTCATGAAGTTTCTGTCAATAAGACAGGGCTCAGTTCCAACTTTAGTGGACCTGTAATGCCTTTGCATGTAGTCAATCCATACAATTTTATGAATGATGACAATAAGAATGCAAAAATATATTTTCTTATTGTGACCATTGCAGAGCCATAATATTATTGTGGGGTTTTATAATAGTTACTTAGACAGAAACAAAGAGAGTTTTCCCCTGTGTTTTACTGCTGTATCTGACAGGGGCCCTCATAAAACAATGAAAATAATTCTTTTGTCTTCTTACTTTCATCCAACAGAAAAGAAGAGATGGGATATTCACTTTAATTAAATCTTGGCATTTGGAGTTCCAGGTTTAATCTTGTATATCTTGTTCAGCCAGTCTAAAATAATTTTAGTAGGGATTTTTTAATATGCTAGAAATATAGCATTGGTCTACTTTGTCACAAATTCTGACAGCTCACTGTGTACCAGCATCTCAGTATTCAGCAACTGATTCATTTATTTTTTTCCTGATTTCGGATCTGAAAACAACAGGGATATCTGAACAGAGGATTTACTATAATAGATGTCTCTTTAAAACAATAATTTATGACACGTTGTTGAATAATAGTAAGATGTAGGATGCAGATAGTTTCGTGAAGCTTTCATAGCATATATGCATTTATCTGTATGTCATTCCATTAATGCCCACCTCCTGTTGCACATATTTAAGATGAATTTATAATACTCATCACATACCCAGAGGTCACTAGCTGGCTGAGTAGGCTGGACATCCCTAGTCAGAAAGTCATAGGCAGTAATAACATGTCATAACATGGCTCCATCAGAGGATTTAAACTGTTAAATCAGTGCAGGATTTGTCTAGGAAGATCAAAAATTACAAAATGTAGTCTAACATACATACCTTTCTACAGGGATATTTAATATTTAGTGTGCAACAACTATTTAGGACTAAAGCAAAATTTAGAAAATCCAAAATAAATAAAACTTGTCCAGAATATTGAATGAGTACAGTAACATACTTGGAAGACTCTTTAGTAGTTTTTATATCCTGCTGCTTGCAGTGGTTCTTTTATCCATGAGTTCAAGGGGACAAAGGAAGATGAGCACTAATGGAAGAACAGGCTTCTTAATTTTGCGTGAAAAGTATTTTTCATTATGACTTATAAAATATTGTTTAAAAACTTAAAACTGATATACTAAAATAACCTGTTACCATGCAGCTTATGAGCAGTTATGAGCAGTTTGTTATCACACTGTTACGAGCAGTTTGATCTCAGTGAAAATCTAGAATGTAAAGAAAAATAATTTCACTTTAAATAATTTTTTACATGAATATTGTTCCTCCT